TGGGTGACTGGAGGTCTTGGTACCTTGTCCTGGGGCTGAGTTCCTTTTTCAGAGCCGAGCGAGGCCCAGGAGGGAAACCATCAGCCACCTGACATGCTGCCACAGGTCGGGACCCCCTCGAGGGCCAGCAATAGCAGGAGGGGCGGGTTGTGGGGGCTCCTCTGAGAGCACGGAGGGTACCAGTACCTCCTGCTGAAGAACAGGAGGCCCACATAACAAATGCCCGATAAAGATGAGCGTGCTTTTCCCTGTCACCAGCACCTTGACCCAGGCCTGTGTGAGGTGGCCCTGGCCAACCTCTCCCACCTGGTCGCCCCACCTTCCACCCCACCGCCCCGATCTCCAGTCACACTGGCCTCATAGCCCTTTCCTGGGCCGGTACACGGATGCTGCCTCAGGACCTTTGCCCCGGCTGCTGCCTCCACCACAAGGACCTTTCTCCTGATGCATGAATGCTGCCTCCTTCTAGTCACCCAGGTCTCAGTAGAAGTGTCCCCACTTCAGAGGCCTCCCCCGACCATCCTGTCTTAATAGAGGTGCCCCGTTGTCACTCTCCCCGCTCCTGGCACCCTACTTGCTTTTCCTTCGCAGTATTTCCCACCTCCTGACATCACATTGGCTTCCTTGTTTGGCTATCCTTACCTACAAGCCCCTCCAATTGGCTTACTGCAGCGGCCCCAGGCTCAGTGCAGACTCTAGCACCCACGCTTCACCAAAAACATTTGCATGAAGAAAGAGCCCACTAAATGTTTTACGGAAAAAACTTCACTAAGTTCTCACCACCACTTCGTGAGACAGTGACCAGAACGGTCTCAATGTTACGAACAGGGAAACAGGCACTCAGAGGATTCGTTGCTGGCTCGGGAGGAGTGCCCTGAAGTTACTGGGAAGAAGCTACAGAGCGGGGACCCAGGACCCGGGACCGGGACCCGGACCCAAGTCCATCTGAACCCCATGCCACCGTATCTCACAAACAAGCCACCACACCTGACGGAAAAAGAACAATCTTATGCAAAGAAGGCATCTGAGGGACGCCTGGGGGGCTCAGTCAGCTGGGGGTCTACCTTCGGCTCAGGTCACGTTCCCAGGGTCTGGGATTGAGCCCCATATCAGGCTCCCTGCTCAGCGGGGAGCCTGCCCCTCCCCCTGCTTGTGCTCTCTGACAAATAAAACCCTTAAAAAAACAACAACAAAAAACAAAACAAAGGAGGCATCTGAGCTGAAGACACCTGCTGAAAGACTAGGTGAGGGAAGAAAAGAAAATAGTGGAGTAGAGAGGGAAGCAAAAGGTGTTTTGGCAAAATTTGCCAAAAATTCTCCTGATGCCATTTCTGGCGTTTCTCCGCCCCCATGAACCCAGTTTGGGCCTCGGTCATTCCCCTGGACTCTGGGCCTCTCTCCCTTCTTTGCCCACTCAGGTTCACCCTCCATACATTGTCCTCACACCAGACTGTGTCCCTCACCTGACTCCCTGATGGCCTCAGGACAAAGTCTAACGGCCCACCCGCCCACAAGACCCCGCGAACCATCAGTACACTGCTCACTGAAAGGTTCTCCGTGTGTCACAAGCCTCAGTCACACAAAACTGCTTGTCGTTTCCAGAATGGCCCGGGCTCTCTTTTGCCGCTTGACATCTGCACATGTTGGTCCAGGTTCGGAACACTCTTCTCCCTCACCACGACATGTACACTGTGCTTCCCCCTACCTGGAAGGCTTCTCTGAAATGTCTCCTCTTCTATGAGAGAGAACAAACCCCTCCGTCGGGATGCCCCAACCCAGTCCTGACCACTCTGCTTACGCCTCCCCAGTCATGGCCCTGGCTACTCTGGGCTACCGCTGTCTGGAAGCAGGTCTGCCTTCCCCACCGGACTGTGGCCCCATGAAGGCAGGACCAGGACTGTGTGTCACCAGTGTTTCCCCAGCACCACAGAGTGCTGGCTGGGCACGATACTCTAAAAGCACAAGGGAGGGGCGGGGCGCCTGGGTGGCTCAGTCGTTAAGCGTCTGCCTTCGGCTCAGGTCATGATCCCAGGGTC